TTTTTTGACTTGGAAATTGGAATCTCTCAACAGTTCAACCGCAAACGAATATAACTACCAGCTGCTTTTTTCCCCCCTACCACCACCGTAGGCACTCTTCCTGCCGGGACTTGATGTGGCTTTCACAGCCTGCCTGTGTCGCTTTCAGCTGCTACAATCCTGACACGATGCGATCATGTGCATGGGTTGTCTCTAGTTTGATTTGAATCTGGCCATTTGCTGGCCGGGATTTAGTGTGCTGTGGTGATAAGTGGGTTGGCACTTGGCAATAGTGCCTGTTGCTGCGACTGGTCATTTGGGTGGATGGATCCGATCGATCGATAGTGTTCTTTGCCCATAACATTTTGTTTGTTATCGATCACAACATTAACTCCACATTCCACATGCGGTTTGGCGGTTTAGATTCGGCTTCTTGTTTGCCATGGTCTCATCAGATATATATATACGGTATTAAGCAGGCTGACACTTTGGTATTTTGTAGAGGTAATTAGTATATCTGGTAAATGCTAGCTTATTTCCGGGCGTACGCTAATCCACCGTATGTCAGTTGAGTTTTGCTATTTAGAAAATGAATTAACAGGAGTTTGGGGTATCATACTATACTCTAGCCTTTAATATATGAATCCCAATCCCCAATTGATCACTAACCCAAACCATGACATTCGTTTAATTTTGAAATGAAAATCAACGATTCTGATTCGCCCAAATTAGTATTGATTTTCTTTTTAAGATTAAACAAATATCATGGTTATATACATATGAGTAATATCAACTCAAGGGTCCTACTAGGAGTGGGGCACAGTAGGGTTAAAAATTTGGAAAAAGGTAAATGGGAGTGTTGAGACTGAAAGTGGAAATATGAGTTTTTGTTTTGCGAGTAAAACAATGGGGTTTCAAATAGGTTAGGATAGGGTCAGTAATCAATGTTTACTAACCTATGAGTAACTAAATCTTGACCTTTAGATTTAAGTGGATCTAGAAAATTCAGATCTAAGGGTTGTCAATTAAAGATATTTATTTTCCCTAGTTTTCTTAATTGGCTCTTATCTTCTTCGTTCTAACTCGGATTTCAATTTTTTTTTGCACAGATGGAACAAGTTCGTTGTGCTCTACAAAATGAGATCAATTTTCAATATATTTCGAGAAACTTTTTTTTACCAACTACATACCATATGGTAACTTCTTCGTTTTTAAGTCGTTTTTGAAAACGTTTGCTCAGAAGGAACGAGTTCATCATGATCTATTGGATAAAAAATTACCATACTTTACCACTATGGTATGTGATTGGTAACTTGTAGTAAACAATGATGAAAGTCGTAAATGATAGTTAATATACTCCTACTATCATGTACTCCACCTTCTTACCATATTGGTATGTTCATACCATCATGGTACGCTTTCTTACCATATGGTATTAAATTGGAGCATACCATATGATAATGACTGGTAAAAAATTATTCAATTTTTTTTGTACTAAAAATATATCATAGTGGATATCATTTTGAAGAGCATATTTTTTTTTTCCGGTAATTAGACTTTCATTGAAGCTCCCTTAAACCAAAATGGCAAAGGCGGTCAAAAATACAAGGACAAGTAACGTCCACATAACAGCTCTGAAAAGCTATAACCTATCTATACAAATTCCTTCCAAAAAGGAACCACCAGCATGTCACTACAAAATTGGCTGTTACCCAACGAAAACAACAAAACATCTCGCTTGATCTGAGTAAACAACTGCTGCCACGATCGTTGCACCCCTTCAAAATAGCGCCTGCAACGCTCCTGCCAAATCAAACTCACAAACCAGCACCATAACACAGAGAAACAACGTCCCTGAGCCCCTCGAACAGCCTCCTGGCACGCCACCTGCAGAAAATGATCCCAATCTCCTGGCCAGTATATCCCCATCCTGCCAAACAGTTCAACAAACAACTCCCTACTATACTGACAGCCACAAAACAGATGGCTTCGAGTCTCATCCCCATTCGAACAAAGCAAACATCTTGCATCAGTGATACTACCCCACTCCCTAAGCTTATCTCGAGTAGTTATTCTATTTAAGATAATTATCCAAGCATTAATTCTGTATTTCGGAATTACATGCTTACTCCAAACCAATTTCCACCATGGCACAATAGCCTGTCTTGTGCGAATAGAATTCCATACCTGTTGTACCTTGAACTTGAGCATGATCTTCCCTTCCCAAAAAACTTCGTGTTGAGCATTAACACTCATCTGGAACTGAAACCATCCCCTCAACTGCAACAATTTACGCCAAATCCACGAACCAACAGAAGCAGGAGGCAGATCCCAGATTGTGAGATCCTTCAGCCTATACCTGTAAATCCATGCAACCCAAAAACTCCCTCATTGCATCAACAAAAGCCAGATCAATCTAGCCATACACGCAGCATTCCAGGAGTGAAGATCCCGAAAACCAACTCCTCCTTCCTTCTTTGGCAATGCCAGTTTTTCCCAAGCAATTTTTGCCCTGCCCGTTCCCTCTCCAAACCACAGAAAATCAGAACATATTTTTTGTATTTGAGAAATGACTTTCTTTGGAAGCACAAAAATTTTCATCCAAAATTGAACTAAAGAATACAAAACTGAGGAAACCAACTGAATCCGACCCGCATACGATAATGAGTTAGCTTTCCATGATCTGATTCTGCTCGTGAGCTTATCCACTAATACTGCACATTCCTTGCTTGTGAGGCTTCCAGTAATCAGTGGCAAACCCAAATACCTTACCGGCAGATGCCCTTCCACAAATCCAGAAGCCTGCAGAGCAGTCCTCTTGAACTCCAAAGCCCTTCCACCAAAAAACACCTCACACTTCTGAGGATTACACTTCAATCCAGACTGAATATAAAAGTCCTCTAATATTTTCTTTACCCTTAATAAAGCAGTACCAGATCCTTCCGTGAAAATCAGTAGGTCATCTGCAAAGCATAAGTGCGTCAACCCCACTGATTTGCACTGTGGATGATAAGGTAGCTGTTTAGTCTGGGCTGCCAGGTCCAGCATCCCTGACAATGGCTCTAATGCAATAGTAAACAAATAAGGCGATAGGGGGTCGCCTTGTCTCACCCCTTTCAGGGCAGGGAAGAATCCAAATAGTGAGCCATATAGGGATATACTAAAATAACCAGATTCCAAACATGCTTTAATCCAATCCATGAATTCTCCTGGGAAATCCATAAGCTCCAGCACACAAAATAGATAGGACCAGCTAACAGAATCAAAAGCTTTCTGTAAGTCTATTTTAACAGCACATCTTGAGGCCACATTTCTCTTTTTATAGTTCTGAACCATTTCTTGCACCATTAAGATGTTATCCAATATGCTTCTCCCCTTTACAAAAGCCGATTGATTCCTACTGATAACCCCCGGTAACACTTGTTGAATCCTATTTGCTAACACTTTAGCTACTATCTTGTATAACACATTTATGCACGCTATAGGACGAAAAGCAGTTAAAGTATCAGCAGTAGGTACCTTTGGAGCAAGGGTGAGAGAAGCTGTGTTCATTCCTTTTGGAAACCTCTTGTCACAGAAGAATTCCAGCACCCCCTTAAAGATATCCTCTCCAATGACAAGCCAATTCTTTTGGTAAAACCCCACAGACCACCCATCAGGCCCTGGAGCTTTAGATGGCTCCATAGAAAACAACGCATCTCTAACTTCCTGACGTGTAACAGCCTTACATAACTCCCGTTTGTCACATAAAGAAACTGTTCTAGTCACAAATTGTTTTAAAAACAATATATCTGGTCGGATCTCTGCATTAACCACCCCATACAATCCTTTGTAAAAACTTACTGCCTCCCCTGCAATCTCTTCTGCTTCTGTTAATATTGTCCTAGATTCCAGCCTGAGTCGTCGTATTTGTTTCTTTGCTTGCCTTATTTTCACTGATTTGTGGAAGAACCCAGTGTTAGAATCACCCAGGGTCAAATACTGAATCCTAGACTTCTGCTTATAAAAACTTTCCTCCGCTAATTGCAGCTGCTTAAATTTCACAGTTACTTGCTTCATCCCTTCAAAAGTCTCTTCATTAGGTGAATGAAGAGCTTGCAGCTGAGCCTCTTTCACTATTTTTTCAGCTTCTTTAACTTTACTCGAAATATCAGAGAACTCCTCTTTATTAAGTTTCTTCAGCTCTTGCTTCAACAGACCAAGCCTCTTTTTAATACTCCATAAATGTGAACCAGCAATCTTGTTCCCCCAGCAATTCTGCAATAAACTGTCATATTTACTATGCTTCATCCACATCTCATAAAACCGGAAAGGTTTTGGAAAGCTCTTCATAGCAACTGTCGGACAAATTAAAATTCCACAATGATCAGAGAAAGCTGGAGCCAGAAATTCCACCACACAGAAAGGCATCCTTGTAAACCAGTCATCATTAACCAGAGCTCTATCTAACTTCCTCGCTATCGGATTATTCTTCTGTTGGTTATACCACGTGTGAAAAGGACCCGAAGACTGATGATCCACAAGTTCCATCCCTTTCATCCAATTTCGAAAAGAAAGCATACTATTAGTAATAGCAACAATATTTGATGCTTCAACTGGACTGAGAATTGCGTTGAAGTCACCACAGACAAGCATTGGGAAACCCTTAACCTGCCATCTCCCCAATCTAATATATGTAGCAGCACGTTCCACTTCGTCATTTGAAGCATAAACCGCTGTAAAAAAGAACTGCTCCTTCCCAGAAATAGAAACTAAGGAGTGTATAAAGTTTGCATCCCTTTCCAAAATCCTAATCTTAACCACATCTGTCCATCCAATCCAAATCCTCCCCAGAGGATGCTTAGCATAGTTATCATCAAATGAAAAACCAGTAAACTTATTTTTTATGTTACCTGAATTATTTCTCTGAACCCTTGTTTCCAACAACACCAATACTTGAATTTTGTGACGACGTACATATCCCAGCACAGAATTGTGCTTCAAGGGGCAATTGAATCCCCTTGCATTCCACACAAGCACTGTCATTTAACAAGTGGGGGGACCAAAGTCCCTTTCTGACTACGTAAACCCTCTCGCCCCTTAGATGGAGCAGGCTGCAGAGTTACTCCTTTCGCACAGATAGCAGCAAATGAATTATGCAAAGTTATAGAAGACTTCTGCAAAATTGTTGGACCAGCCTTAACACCATTCACAACTGTGTTAAACTCCACCTGAGAAGGAAGAGCGCTTGGGGTTATTGGTGGTGTTTCACACACTTCCTTGCCCTTGTCAACCCGCACCTCTTTACCCACTGCAACATCCAGTGTCTCAGGATTGAGCACCTGTACCTCCACAACCTCTGTACCTAAAGAGCCATTCACTGCCTCTGTACCCAAAGAACTATTCATTCTCTCAGAATCCACCTCCTGCATCTCCGCTGTTGTGACTTGTTTCCTTCTCCAAATCTTCATAACATTAGTAGTACCATTTCCTGGAACCGAACAGTCATGCCCAAATACACAGCAAGCAGTGCAGAGCTTTGGCAATCTACAATATTCCACAGTTATGAACATCTCTTCCATACCATCAGGCGTGATACTGATTTTATCAATCAACTTCTTCTTAGCACTAATTTCCACACATACCTTCGCCATTCCCACTCTAGTGCCGAATTTCGTAGGCTGATCCATACATAATGGTTTGCCCAGCAAACTCGAGACCCTTCCCAACCCTTCCTTGGATGAAAGCTCCGAAGGCAGCCCCGATAGCTTGACCCAAGCTGGCACAGCCGAATTATCAATCTTCAACGCTTGGATACCCGGAGCCCGGCGACGAAGACAGAGCATATTCTCTTTATAATGCCAGGGACCCCCTTCAAAAACCCACCTGCAAGTCGACTCCGTCGGAAATTGAAAAAGAACTAACCGATCTTCCAGCCACGATACCTTCACTTCTCCCTCACGACCCCAGAGCCAATTCGCCCAGAATCGAATGGTCGCTAACGTCGGCGGCGATGAGAGGAACTGCCCCACCAGACTATTGTCCCATCTACGAATACCCTCATCAATTACCGAGCGCGGAATTCTCAGCGATCCGTTAATGATTTCTGGCTCATAGTACTCAAGCCTTGCATCCTCAGCCGCCCCAAACAGAGACACCCATGAACGACCGCCGCTGGCGTCGCCCGTTGAGGCTCCGTCAGCGACGGCCGCCATCAAACTCAGTAACGAAACCCTAGCAGAGAAGAGAGAGAGGAGAGAGAAGAGAGAGAAATTTTTATTTAATGCGATTTTTGGTAGGTGTTTTGAATGTTGGACAGGGGAGGAATTTTGAAGAGCATATTTAATCTGATTTATCTGTGCAAAAAAAATAAAAATAAATTTCGACTTAAAACGAGAGAGAAATCGTCCGTTAAAGATTAAAGGGGAAAAGATAAAAGACTTTACAGGAGAGAGAGACTACTGATGTCATGCTGATGTTGACAGGTTACTCATGGTTACTGACCATAGAGTTACTGACATGATCCGCTCCCGGTTCAAAGTTGTAGTTAGGGCGAGATGTGGGTGGTTAATTTGCGGTTTGATATCAATTTACCCGTAAAAAATCGAATTATAGTAGGTGAATGATAAATGCGGGTGGATTGTGAATTGATAAATCTTCTACTATACTGTATTTTTAGATGACAAAGCTGTTTCTTATTTATACTATCGATTCCTCAAAATATTTCATAATCTACCTAGACATTGACCATCGACTTCTAAAGGTGGAGAGTAAAGAATATGTTTTGGGCTATTATCATTGGTTACTATATTATGTAATGTTTATTAAATAATGGGATCCATATGATAAATAAATAATAGTATTAAAGTCACAAAATTCGTCATTTTTCTCTGCACAATCGGTTGATAGAGTATTAAAAATTTGATGCAAATACTACACAGATCCAGAGGAGACAAAGTGAGAAGTGTCTAAATAATAATCTTACTAATTTGCAAGACATTTATTATAAAGGTTAGTCAACTTTCTTAATAACTAGTCAGAGAATTGATTTTGCGCGTTAAGCCACAACCTAACCGCACCCATCCGCCATCCACCCAAACCAACCCAAAAAGGGATGGATAGCGGGTTACAATTATTCCAACTCGGTAATAAACGAGCTCCCCGGCGACGATAGAGGAACCAACCCTCCAGCTGCGGCGAGACGATTTTTTTCTTTCACAATAAGACCTGGACCATTATCCCTACCCTCGGTAGCTTACGAGTTTACGTCCATCCCCAATATGCGTCCGTCCACTGTCAACCATTCATCACCACTATTCTGGGTTGCGCACCTTCCCGAAAAACCAGCTAAAACAAGCGCGTCTGAAAGACTTGTGGTGGTCCCTAAGAAGCCCCTACGACGACTCATCGAATTTCCTAGTCGGGGAGAATGCTATCAGAAAGCAAGCCAATGAGCTAATGATGACTAGCGGTGACTCATTTTGATTTTAAAACTCAACCCGCCTATTGCCCTATGGCCACTCTAGTTGTAGTAGTGAACTGGAGACTTGTTATAGTGGTTTGTTAAATTTTAATAGTGATTTGGAGATTTATACTAGTGATCATTTGGTGGTTGTTGCCACCAATTTCAAGTTTTTTAGAAGTGATTGTATTATTTGTACTAGTAATTCCCAATTTTGAGTTTGTTTAAGTCTTCTACTCTTTTTCTTAAAACTCTAACCATATTTGAAGTGTTGGATGCAACCTTGATTATGAGTAACTGGTTGATTAGAGACCCCCGAGAGAATATGACTGGTACCAATGCAGTCAGAAGCACGATTCTACTAGAAGCGGAAAATGGGTAAAATCGTAAGGCGTAGTATCAAAGCATAAAAGCGTAAGTTTTTGACACATACTTAAAATGGCTAAAATCTGTTAAGTACGACATATACTATGTAAAATATGAGTGCACAAAATTTAGATAAGTTAATAAATACCTGCAATTCATGTATAAAGTATAGCAACTCATAGCTACTTAACAATAAGTTCATAAACATAGATCTTAACAATACGCCGGCTTTCCCTCTATGCTAATGAATTTGGGTATTAGATTACTCTATTGAAGCTCAGAATGCATCCAAGTACCTGGTAAGTATCTTTTAATCTCAAATGTATCATATTGTTGGTGTTTTACCTTTAAAATATACATTTTCTAATTAATTTCATGAAAAGAATACCCATTTAGTGAACTAGAAGCGTAAAAGCGTAAAGCGTTTTGGTGAACTAGAAGCGTAAAAGCACAAGTTTTTAAGCTTTCAAGCGCTATTTAGTCTAATTTTATACACTAAAGATTTAATATGGAAACGAAAGCATCTTGGTGACCTAGAAACGTAAAATCTTAAAATTTTAAGTTTTATAGCGGGATGTTGACTGGTACCTTTCGTATCTACCAAGTTAAATTTGATCCTATACCATATCAAATCATCTTCTTTTTTCCAATTGTGTCCCGACTTCCCATGTATCTCCCTTTCTCCCTCAACCCCCTTTCCCACCCTCTGAAGATCTCTCTCTTTCTCTCTCTACGCAATAGTAGTATCTAGTGCCTTCCATAACCTCTCATCTCCATTCTCTTTAACATCGTCTGTGATGTCACATGTGTCAAAGCAATTCAACTTGCTGGTGAAAGATATAGAGTCGCTCTCCCTCCAAGTTGGTCGATTCATGTAACGCTTTAGGCAAATCGCACATCGATAAAGCATGTGAGAGATTCATGGTTCATAGTAAGAAACGACTTTAATTGACAAGACGCATTTTGGGGTGAAATAGAGGAGTTCTTGTGAGAACTCTGAAGTTAAACGTGCTCAGTGTGGAGTACAACAAGTTTGGGTGACCTTATGGGAAGCCACCTTGAATTGCACTCCAAGTCGAAAACCTTGAGGGTCGAGGCCCAAAAGGTTCGAGATGTTACGATTCATCTCCTCTAGCTCCTCCACCTTGAAAACTCCTTGTTCCTCAATCTCTTCACGTCATTCATTAAATGTGTCCATAATCTATTTTGTTATGGGATAATCCAATTACCACAAAAAATACAAGGAAATAACCTTTGTATATAAGTGTCTAGCTAGCTCATTATTACAAGGCGTTTTAGGAAGGAACTCAAAAGTAAATCCGTACGAGTGTGACCCTAAGTGGACAATATCTTACTAATGGAGAATCCAATATAAAAAAGTGGTATACGAGCCTAGTTAGGTGTTTTAGATCTAGGGCAGTGGACGTCATTTTGTTTGACCCTTGAAGGCCAGGATCGTATTCAGTCTCTCACAACAACTTACGCATGTGGAGAGACACGAGTTCTATGATTTAGAAAACATGAGTATGGAGGTTGAGGTGCCTCCAGGGTTGAAGTTCCCCTTGATTTCACAAAATCTAAATTAAAAGCAATGCAAAGAATGCAAACTATACTACTGGCCGATGAAGGAAGCAAGAGGATGAGGCATTGCATAAACAAGCTCCCCCTAGAGTTCTTTAGACTTGTAACGTCGATCCATGAAACATATGAGATGCTTAATCTTTGTTAGGTTTACTCCTACAATGTGCCATAGGAAATGCCATGTCTAGTAGGCAATAATATAAAGCCTATGGATTTCTCTCTTTGAGAAAGTCGATGATATTTGATCGATTGCAGATCGATTGTCAGAGGAACGCATGTCTAGTCTAATCCACCCACGAAGTTGGATTTGAGGATATGACCTTTGAATTCAATCCTTGTCTTAAACACACAATCAAATCAACAATAAACCAAATGAAAGAACAACCAGAAAGATAATAGAATCAACTCATCAGATATGCCAAAATCGATCGTTACATACTCTAGAACCTCTATGGTTTGCCTACGACCTACCTACGTAACTAAGGAAACTATCTGGACATGAGGACGAGTTAGGTGTTTTAGATCTAGGGAGGTAGATATAACTTTGGTGGATCCTTGATCCCGTCGTAGTGAGTGGTCAAATTTACCTGTTCCAAAGACTAGGATCATATTACCCTAGGGTCTCCCACAAAAACTTATGCATGTGGTGAGAGATGTATTTTTATATGGTTTATAAAACATGAGTGTGGAGGTTGAAGTTCCCCTTGGTCTTAAAAAATCTAAATTAAAAGCAATGCGAAAAAGGAAAACTATACTACTGGTTTATGAAGGAAACAAGAGGATGAGGCATTACAAAGACAAGTCCACCCAAGAGCTCTTTAGAGTCATTAGGTCGATCCTGGAAACATATAAGATGCTCGATCTTTGTTAGGTTTACTCCTACCATCTGTCATAGCAAATGGCATGTCTAGTTGACAATGAAATGGACCCTACAAATTTCTCTGTTTTAGAAAGTCGATGTTGTTTTATCGATTGAGGATCGATCGTTAGAGAAATGCATGTCCAGCCTAATGCACCCAAGAA